CACGTTTTGTCTTTCTGTGGCATTTTTCAAAAGATGAGAGAAAGCCCAACACGTTCTTCTGTAGTAAGTAAAACAGATGCCCAGAGTACAGCCCTAAATGGCCGTAATAACTGGAGGGCATCACATTCCCTTCTACCAGCACCTTCCTCGTACCCTTAGGTACCTTTACTTAGGTAAAGTTCTTACATGCCCATCGGACCACCCTGGATTCCCAGGAGATTTTGGAACTCAGCAGATACCCCCAAGATGTGCCTGTCCAGCAGCTCTGAGAGCCTCAGAGGCACAAAGGATGATCATAACCCAGCCTCGGAGTCATGCCAGCTGGGAGGCACCTACAGCTCTTCCCTGATGGGCCCTCTCCCACTCCCCCTGTCCCGTGTGGTCCTGAGCTAGCCAAAAACCCAGTGTGGTCTTTGCATGCCCTCTGTGGGATCTCATTCAGCTTATTTTCTCTGCTGGAGCAGGGACACGTGAAAGATACCACCTCCGGATTGCCAGAAAAGTCACATAAGAATAAGGGAGAGGCGGGGTGGGGGGGGCGCCTGGGTGGCTCAGTGGGTTAAACCTCTGCCTTCAGCTCAGGTCATGATTTCAGGGTCCTGGGATGGGACCCCACATTGGGCTCTCTGCTCAGCAGGGAGCCTGCTTCCTCCTCTCTCTCTGCCTGCCTCTCTGCCTACTTGTGATTTCTGTCAAATTAAAAAAAAAAAAAAGAATAAGGGAGAGTCATCTTTTGGATGTTAGCTGGCACGTGGTGTCTGACAGGAGGTCCCCTGGAAACATTGGTCTACCCCCTGACTCAGGGAACTCAGCTTGTAGGTTTTGAGGCACAAGAGGAAATGTGTGGTGTGGGCAGAAAGTCTCGAACGCTAATGCATCACAGTGGATTTTAAAGAAGAAAATCCCCCGGGGAGGGTCAGGTGTAAAAAGTGGGGTGGGGGGCACATTATGAACAGGAGACGTCGGAAAATGGAGTAGAAGCTGCACGGTAGGAACATATGTCCTTCAGATGTCTGTGCTGACTCCACTGAGGGCAGACGACAAGATGATTCCTGAAGTCAGTATTAAGTAGAGATGGTGAGAAGGACTAATGCCCCGCACTTCCATCGGATTGTGTAGGCGCAAGTTCTGTCTGAGCCACGTCAGCCTTTAATCCTTTTCCCTCTTCCTGGCCATGTTTTGACTTGCCCTATTTTTTAATATCATCCCCGGGAGATGGTCAAGGTCAGAGAAGGTGAAAACTCACCCCAGTTGAAGGGCGAGGGTGCCTGGTTACCCTGAGGACGAGTGCTGTGAGGAAGAACTTGGGTAAATTGGGGCAGGCATTGAACTGTGCATTTTGGGGAGCTTGACTGAATAATGGCACATTCCAGTTCACACTTACCACCAGGTTCGTCTCTGACCGACTCCCCTGGAACTGTGTAATAGGCTACATAAAGTAAAGTGAAATTTTAAAAATGTTCCTGCCTTTGCTACTCTGCTTCTCCCCCCACCCCACAACGGAGGTACATTTTCATCTGGCAGATGAGTCAAATAATGAACTAAAAGCTACGTTCACACTAACAAGGGGTTGTTCCCGGCGGCTGGTTTTGAGTTCCATGCATAAGCCTCTCCTCGAGGTTAAAGATTAGCCCACCATTGACCATTCGCTGCAACACAGGCGTAAATGTTTGACAGAGCACACATCCCCGGACTGGGCCGTGCATGTGAGCGCCCAGCATGTCCTTGGTGGGAATGGAAAGGAACGTCATACAAGTAGAAATGGGCCATTGTGGAAACCCTGGACAGTGTTTCTGTTAAATCATTTGTACACTGTTAAATGATTTACATTCTGATGGGATCTGGTAATCCCGGAAGGGCAATTCCACGCATTCCTCTGTATCCCGACCCTGACAGTCTGTATCAATTACAGTGGCCATAAGACTCTCTCGGCTGGTTAGGCATAAAGAATTTTTGTGCCCGATTCTTCCATATGCTCTCCTTGGTTCTCTTAGCCCACACTTCTGAGGTGGTTCGGTAGCAAATATCATTATCCATCTTTGCAATTACTGAGACTGAAAGGGCCCAAATGATATCCATCCCTCAAAAGATATAGGCTTGCTTGAGTGTGTTGTTTTGAATTCCAGGGTCCGACTGTGGACCACAAAAAAAAAAAAAAAAAAAGAAAGAAAGAAAGAAAGAAAATCCATGAATTGGAGTTCGGTTTATAATTCAAGAGACAAGTAATTCTACTTTTAGCTAACTTCGTGACACATATTGTTCTGAGAACATGTTGACTGAGCCCAAGTCCTTATTTTTCCTGCTTGAAATATAATTGATATATAACATTATAGTAGTTTCAGGTATACAACATAATGATCCAATATTTGTGTACATTATGAGATGACCCCCACAAAAGGTCTGGTTAGTATCCATCATCCCACATATACATTTTTTTTTCTTGTGATAAGAACTTTCAAGATCTGCCCGTCTTAGCAACCGTCAGATACACGGTATAGTAGCAACTGTAGTCACTGTGCTATATAGTACATCCTCAGGACTTACTTATTTTATAAACTGGGAAGTTTTGAACTTTTTGGCCCCCTTTACCCGCTTCCCCCAGCCTCACCTCTGGCAACCACCAACCTGTTCTCTGTATCTATGAATTTGAATTTTCTTTCTTTGGGTTCCATGTACGTGGAACAGATAAGTGACACTGTATAATACATGTCTTTCTCTGTTTGACTTATCTTACTTAGCATAATGCCTTCAAGATCCATCTGTGTTGTTCCAATGGCAAGATTCCATCCTTTTTTATGACTAATATTCTATTGTGTGTGTGTGTGTGTGTGTGTGTGTGTGTGTGAGTGACATTTTCTTTATCCATTCATCAGTTGGTGGGAGCTAGGTTGTTTCCATGTTTGCAGTTGGCTGTCATAAATAATGCCGCAGTGAACATGGGGGTGGAGATATTTTTTCGCATTGGTGTTTTCATTTCCTTTGGACAAATACCCAGAAGTGGACTTGCTGGGTCATAGGTTAGTTCTATGTTTAATTTTTTGAGGAACCTCCAATCTGTTTTCCATAGAGGCTGCCCCACTTTACACCCCCACCAGCAGTGCAGGTGGGTTCCCTTTTCTCCGCATGCTCGCCAACAGTTGCAATTTCTTGTCTTTTTAATAAGAGCCATTTCCAGCAAGGGTCAGGTGATACCCCCAGAATCCTTATTGACTTGGAGGAACACATGCACTCAGAGAGGTCACCTGCTACATGAGAGGTTGGGGGATTGTTTTTGGCCTCCTCCTAAGGCCTTGTGGCTTTGGGAGAGTCCCTTGACATTTTTTGATTTCTGATCTCAATAACAGCAGAGAGCTGGGCTAGCTGGTGTCCAAGCCTGGCTTAGCTCTAACGTGCTGTGATCCCATCATCTGCTATAGCATCTAGTGATACGAGGGAGAGAAAAAGAAAAAATGGACATTTCTGTTGAAGTTCAAGACAGAAGTACAGCATTAGTTCATTTGTTTATTATTTTTCTGTGCTGATAGACTCCAGAGTTCCCACTATTTGCTTTTTTTTTTTTTTTTAAGATTTTATTTGTTTATTTGACACAGAGAGAGCACAAGCAGGGGGAGCGGCAGAGGGAGAGGGAAAGGGAGAAGCAAGCTCCCTAATGAGCAAGGAGCCCAATGCAGGGTTTAATTCCAGGACCCTGGGAACATAACCGGAGCCAAAGGCAGATGCTTAACCAACTGAGCCAGCCAGGCGCCCCAGAGTTCCTTCTATTTTTATGATCTGAACTGTATATGACAATTACAATGTTATGCACTTAAAATCTGTGAAGAGGGTAAATCTCGTGTTACGTGTTCTGTACCATATGGTAAACACACACACACACACACACACAAAGGGACACAAAGACACTTTTGAAGGTTACGGATATCTGTATTACCTTGAGTGCGGTGATGGTGTCACAGGCGTTTGCACACATCCAAACTCCTTAAATTGTATATATTAAACATGCAGGGTTTTTATGCATCAATTACACTTCAAAAAGCAGTTTAGAAAACAGATAGGAATTATATACATACTGAAATATATACGTATTAGATATTTTTTCAAAAACTACAGAGAGGTTTATGTCCTTTTAAGACCATATCTACAGATGATGATTAAATATTTAGGGAAGGAAGGAATAGGAAAGAAGCATTTTTAAACTTAGACTCTGTGGGGCGCCCAGGTGGCTCAGTCAGTTAAGCATCTGAATTCGGCTCAGGTCATGATCCCAGGGTCCTGGGATCGAGTCCTCCATCGGGCTTCCTGCTCAGCGGAGAGCCTGCTTCTCCGTTTGCCTGCTGCTCCCCCTGCTTGTGCGCTCTTGCTCTGTCTTCTTCTCTCTGACAATTAAATAAATAAAATCTTTAAAAAAATAAATAAGTGAATGAATAAACTTAGACTCTGGCAGTGCTGGTCTGCAGAACTTCCTGCAAGGACAGAAGTGCCCTGTATCTACTCAAAATCCCTGTGGTAGCCAATCGTTACATCGAACTGTTGAGTGCTTGAAAGCAATGAACCATTGCAATGAGAAACTGTATTTTTAATTTCATTTCATTTTAATTTAAAGAGTTACAGTCCCGTTAATAACTTTTTTCCCAATAAAACCTTACTCCTGGTTCTAAGTAGAGTTCATGAAGAAAACACAATTGGATATCAAGTAACCATACTCCATGGCTGAATCAGGTTAACAAGTTTGTAGGACCCTCAGGGCTGGCTCACCACCTAATTTCTCAAGATTTAAAGATGAGGCCTTTGAGGTGACTGGGGAGGCCCGGGACCACTGGGAAAGCCATGAACAGGGCCAGGGGGCCTTTGGGGGTCCAGTCATTGAGACCACAGATATTCTGAGTGTTTGAGGTTCTGGAACACAGCTCAGAAAAGGAAGAGTGGGCCTTTTTTTAGGAGATGTCATGAAAAAATCTGCAGAAGTACCAGAGTTAACCTTCTTTGTTGTTTTTTCCTTTCAGGAGCTGATCGACGTTGACAGTGAAGTGGTGTTTGAATTAGCCTCCTATATTTTACAGGTAGGTCATTCTGCCCTCATGTGTGCATCCCAGAGCCAGACACAGAAGAGACAAGAATAAGATGTAACATGTACACCAGCTGCCATATGCTCTCCCTATTTGTCATCTTAATTATTTACAACAGTAACAGGATGGAGCTATGCCATAGCAGTAAATAAGGAGCTTCTGGGATTCCCAAGTTTTATGACAGGGTCTCTCTGCAAAGGAAAATTGTCTCTACATCATTTGAGTCCGGGGGAAACTGAGATCATTCAGAGACTCCATTTTCTTCAAGTGTGGTGCCCTCCTCACTCTGAAGAAAGCCAAGTAAATAGCAGAATGAATTGGCAAGAGAATCATTTCACACTGCGTGGAAAGACAAGAAGACCATTAGCTTATGTGTAAGAGTTATTAATGAAAATTAGCAACAATGACAATATTAGTCACACCGGCAAGATGAATTGAAAGAAGGACATTAATTTATTTCTTCCATAAAGCTTTATTGAACAACTACTATATCCAAGGCATGGTGCTAGAGTCATTAGAGGTTCCATGGTTCCTCTGCAGTAATATCGGGAAGGAGCCCACAGAACAAGACAAAACAAGTAACGTTGAGACAGAGACAGCTCTACCCAGATGCACATTCTGATTCTAGAAAATGGTAAACCAGGGTCCTAAGAGGGAAAAACTTGCATTTTGTCATTATGAATCACTCTCTTTGTATATAACTTTCTAAGGTATAATTTAGTGTCTTGGATTCAGGTGGCCAAATGTCTGTCTGGTCCTTTCCTCATCGTCTTCCTGTGGCAGATAGGACAACAGCCGTCATAAGCTGAGTGTCCTCGGTAGAGTTGTCGTGACCATACAATGTATTTGAAAGTCTGGCACACTGCACTGGAATGTTTCACTGACGTAGACTTTTTTTTCTTCTACAGGAAGCAAAGGGAGATTTTTCTAGGTGAGTTTACAAAAGGTTTGAGGGTTTGGGGGGTTGTTTGTTTCTGTTATTTTTGGGGTCATGTGCTGTGTTACATCTCTATTAAAAGAAATTATTCTTTGGATCCTTTGTAGGAAGGCAGTGCTTTCATAGTATATATTGATGATGAGATCCAACCACCTCGGGCAGAGGAAACAGTCATAGTGAGGAGGCTCTCCTGTACTAAATGAGAAGTCTAGCAGTGACTAGAAGCTAGGAGTTGCCCCCAGTGTCACCTGTGGCTGTTGTCTAGAGGGTTGTCAGACTGCCCAAGTGTGTCCATGGAGTCAGGAATCACCCCTCTGGTGTGAATAGGGCTTCAGATAACCCTGCCATGTGGATATCTTTTTTCTCTCTCTCATTTTTAGTCCCCTGACCATCCAAAGGACAAATGCTATCCCATGGGGAGAGTTCCTTCATAAAAGTATTACAGTCCCCCACTTCTACTTTTCTTCCTTCTCTAGATAGTACATTGGAGAGAATGTCAACGCTTAACCACTGGGGACATGTGAGCTGCTTATTAACCCTGTAGAACTGCCAGCTTCAGTCTTACCATTCATTCCCTGAGGCCTCGCCTGCTGACCTGCGTGGTTGCTTTGCCTCTCAGTTTCTCGTGATCATTACTGGAGCCTGTATAGGGTAGGGAGTTGTGGCCACCCATCAACAGGAATGTTTGCTCAAAGACAGACGTGACTCCTGGCATTCTGGTTTTTGAACTCCCTGAGAGATGTCTGGGATAGCCTGTGTTTTAGACTCAGGGTCTAAATATCCAAGAAAACAGAGTGTCAGGGCCTAGCATTCTGTCTCATCAATAGGAAGTTAGCTAAACTGGTATTAAAAAGAAAAACAAATCCTGCCTCTACTCCTTGAAGGAACTCAGTATGTTTTCTCTTGCTTTGGTGGATTTGGTCTGTAAGGTAAGGTTTTGCGAGCCCTATGGTTCTGTTGTTATTACTCAGCTCTCCCTTTGTAAATGCAAAAGCAGCCATAGACAGTGTAAATAAATCAGGGTAGCCCCGTTCCAATAAAACTTTATTTATAGACTTGGAAATGTGAATTTTGTATACATTTTCTGGTATCATGAAATACTATTGTTTTGATTTTTCTTTTCCCCCCTCACCATTTAAAGAATGTAAAAGCCATTCTTAGCTCGTGGACCACATAAAAACAGGGCGAGGGCTGAACCTAGCTGGTGAGTTGCAGTGTGCTTACCCCGGATTCTAAAATTAGTCCCTTCAGCTCCCTTTGAATATTTGTATAAGGGAACCTCCAGGCACCTTTTATTTAGACTTCCCTAGTTCTTGCTATAAAGCAGAGATAGTCACTTGTTTTGGGGGTTTTTGTTTTGTTTTGTTCTGTTTTACTAAGGCTGTTTTACATCCTGAACTGGAGACCTTAAACACTGTAGGTGGCCAATGCCCAGTCACCGAAGTTGTTGAATGAAATATTTTCTAGATCCTGAAAATATCCGGTTTTTTATAGTTGTTACTTGTTTTATGCCCCTCATTTGACATTGGAATTTGGGGGTTTTGATAAGAGCAGGGTCATAGACTCACAAAGGTTTCTGGTCTCATGAAAAAGAGTTTAACAACCACAATTCCCGTGGATTCCCTGAAGGTAATTTTCTCCCGTTGGCTTTCACCAGCCCTGAACTCTGCTGTAAATATTATTTATTTTTGAGAGTCCCCTGACAGGATGGAATGTGAACTGGAACCAGCGGAGTCTGGCCCCACAGATCATGGGAACGTGTGGCCACAGGGATTGCCAAGGAGGAGGAAGTGCAGGCCCGGCCTCCCAGTAATTCATGGTCCCCTAAAGAGCTTGTGGAATGCCAGCTTGCGGGCCTCAGAGAAAGAAAGCATCCTGGTTTAGCTTCATTTGTCAAAGTGTGGCCTCTCTGTTTGTTTGTCCCCAGCTGTCTGGTGAGAGAAATAGCTGTCAGGGGAGGGAGAGGTCAGACACCTTGGCCCAAAGGTCAGTTTATCCGCCAGCCTAGCACTCCCATCATGGAAGGTGGACAGGATTTATTATGTGGGGTGCCCTGATGAACACCCAGTGTCTGCAGCAGGCCCAGCGTTTGCAGACTCCAGTGGCCTGGAGTTTGGGAAGAAGAGAAGTAATTCTAAATTCCTTGTCTGTGCCCTTTCTCGCCTAAACCCAGGGAAAGCCCCAAAGCATTGACGCTGAGCATATTTGGTTTGGTGGCTGAACATTAGGCATGTTAGGTGTCCCATTCTCTTAATTTAGTATTTGAGAGTTATCTTTTATTCTATTAATAATTAATACAGGACTGTGCCACCTTAGTTGTATTTAACTGGATGGCCTCAACTTGTAGACATAACTTGTAAATATAATACGTTTTCCTGAATAGCATCAATGAAATGAGATGTCAGCTTAGAATACAGAGAACATGGCAGAAGGCTTTTATTTTGTTTTTAAAGATTTATTTATTTATTTATTTTAGAGAGAGAGAAAGAGAGAGAGTGTGAGCAGGGGGAGGGGCAGAGGATTCTGAAGGAGAGAGAATCCCAAGCAGACTCCCCAGTGAGTGTGGGAGCCCCACGTGGAGCTGGATCCCTGGACCCTGAGATCATGACCTGGGCCAAAATCAAGAGTCAGACACTTAACTCACTCAGCTACTTGGGTGCGCATGCAGAAGGCTTTTATTTATTTATTTTTTAAGATTTTATTTATTTATTTGACAGAGAGAGATCACAAGTAGGCAGAGAGGCAGGCAGAAAGAGAGAGATAGGGAAGCGGGCTTCCTGCTGAGCAGAGAGCCTGATGAGGGGCTCAATCCCAGGACCCTGAGATCATGATCTGAGCCAAAGGCAGAGACTTTAACCCACTGAGCCACCCAGGCGCCCCAGCAGAAGGCTTTTAAATAAGGCATGGTCCAGGGCTTAAGTTGGGGGTGTTCTAGAATCTAGAGGCTTACAGAACCTTTTTTAATTAATGGTCACACATGAAAGACAAAGTAACACTTTCATAACCGGAGGGTCCTGAATCTAACTTCCTAAAAGGCTATTTTGCCCCCGGGGCTCCTATTATTCTATATATTTATGTGTCCGTGAATATATATGAATTACATTTAATCTATAAATTATGGGAGCAGTTAGTTTCCTTGAAGTGGAAAAGGGTTATTTTTACAAAAGGGAGAAGTCAAAAGTGCTGATATACTTAAATAGAAGGAGAACTGTCTACAGACAGCTCGGAATCAAAATCCTCACAGGCTGTTTTGTTTCTTCTTTTGGACTCGTTTGCCCAGCAGACCCTTTGAAGGCTTATTCTTACGTAACTTCCTTTTCTTTCCAATGAGTATCAATGTTCACCATCCTGTCTTCTTGGACTTGGCCATGAAATGTCGGGTTGAGCTTTGCTGAAAGAAAATGACCGGGGTCTAGATAGGTACGAAGCATTGTCCCTGGTAGGAAGAAATCTATGTCATACATGTTCATATTCTAACATATTGTGGACAGATTTGTGAGCGAGCATTAAAGGTTTAGGAAATGGCCTTATCTAAAAAGTAATATTTTCTCACTTGTATTATTTTCCTTAGCACAGCATGATAATCGTACTTTCCTTCCTGGTGTGTGTCTGTGTACAAAAATGAGTGGCCATCAACAATCCGGAAATCTAGAGTTGGCATTTCTGTTTAAAAACCATTGAATAGCCTGAGAATCGCTAACCATGGCAGCTCTGTAGATGGACGTTAGGTTGAGAAGGATCAACACCGTTTAAAAACAAAACGTTCTTTTTTTTTCTTTTTTTAGATTTTATTTATTTATTTGTCAGAGAGAGAAAGAGAGAGAGAGCAGAGGCAGGTAGAGTGGCAGGCAGAGGCAGAAGGAGAAGCAGACTCCCTGCCAAGCAAAGAACCCGATGTAGGACTGGATCCCAGGATGCTGAGATCATGACCTGAGTGGAAGGCAGCCGCTTAACCGACTGAGCCACCCAGGCGTCCCTAAAAACAAAAAGTTCTTATTTGATAACCACTCCTGGCCATTTGTCAGCTAACACACACTTTCTGTGATTAGTACTTACTTCATGCATTACAGACGCTACGGGGGTTTGAGTGCTGAGCACTGACATTTCCTATTTCAAAAAATTAAAGAAAAAACCTTGGGTTATTATAGCAAAATAATATTCTCTTCCTTGAAAAGGTCCTTGAATCAACTGAACAGGACATCCAGATTATAGAGTTACATTCTGATGCAATTTAACAGAAGACTTCTTGCTACATTGTATTCAAGAACTTGATTTTTTGTTTGTTTTCTCTAAGGGGATCTTTATTAAAAAGCCTGGTGGCCAGTCTGTCTTGATTCCGAGAATCACCTCACCTTTTACTTGCTATCAGCCCTTTGGATGCTTCCAGAAGGGTGCCAGGAGAAAAGAAAAGAAAAATCGTTGTAAACATTTTGTCAAATCAGTGAATTGATTAAAAAATAGTTTATGTTGAACAGCACAACTAAATGCCCAAATCACACTACTTTTCATATAAAGAAACATCCAAACACAGGGAGTAGTAAAAAAAAAAAAAATCTGTTATATAGAATTTTTTGTTAATAAGATTTATTGAAACCAGATCAGTAAAGCTCTGTTAGGCCGGGCCATCCTTTGGGACCTGGAAATATCTTTGTTATAAAGGACCGGATGTACTGGTGCTAATCATTAAAACAGGATGCTAGCAGCATAAGATTTATCAGAACCAGTAAGCAAACGGCACCTGGAGAAGACAGTCTTTTTTTTTTTTTTTTTTTTTTAAAGATTTTTTTATTTATTCATTTGACACAGAGAGAGAGGTTACAGGAAGGCAGAGAGGCAGGCAGAGAGAGAGGGGGAAGCAGGCTCCCCGCCGAGCAGAGAGCCCCTGAGATCATGACCCGAGCCGAAGGCAGAGGCTTAACCCACTGAGCCACCCAGGCGCCCCAAGGAGAAGACAGTCTTAACATTTCACGTAAAGGTCCGTGGGCTACGTTTTG